CTCGATATAATGCATAATTTTTTTGATAAAGTGAAAAACCAGAAACAAAATGAAGAACATGTACAAAATGTTGTGTATAGAAGGTGAGGTGTCATTAGAGAGTTTAAAAATTTTTGGCATTTCTAGTTGCCTCGGGCTGAAGTTTTATCATTACCCCCTATCTGTTTGGCTTTCTCATCTTGGACTTTTGTCTCAATGTTTGGGAAGGTCTCCAGAAATCCTGGCAGGAGCCTGCGGTCTCTGGCACACCAGGAGCAGGAGGGTGAGAGAGGACCCTAGAGTGTTGTTCTCACTTGGAGAGACGGTCAAGGGCTGGTCAAAGGCTTTTCTGTGCGGGCATGGCCAGGGGTGGTGGTGGTCAGGGATGGAAGTGGACACAGAGATAAAGGAAGTGGAGAAACTCTCATAAGCCCTTTATCCAGAGTTCTAATTTTTGATTTATCATTTTCTCTTTCTGTTTACTCTTTATACATACGGTTTTCAGAACCATTTGAAAGTAAGTTGCAGACATGATGCCCCATGTGTATTTTCTAACAAGAATATTCTCCTACATAACACAGTACCATGATAAAAATCATTATATTGATACCACACTATAATCTATAGACCTTATTCATATTTTGCTAATTGTCCTAATAAAGTCCTTTATATATATAGATATATAGATAGATATTTTTTTCTGGTTCGTGATTCAATCCATGGTCACGCATTGCCTTTAGTTGTTGTGTCTCTTTAGTCTCTGGTCTGTCTTTGTCTTCATGACCTTCACAACTTCGAATGGTGGAGACCAGTTGTTTTATAGAATGTCCCTCAATTGGGGTTCACCTGGTGTTTCCTCAGGATTGGGTTGAAGTTCTGCATTTTGAGTGGGAATACCATAGAAGTAATTTTGAATCCTTATTGCGTCATATCAGGAGGCACATGATGTCACTTTGTCCCCTTACTGGGGATGTTAATTTTCTTTTTTTTTCTTTTTTTTTTTTTCCTTTTTGTCTTTTTTCGTGTCCGGCAACGGATCACAACCCTCAGTGTCACGCCTGTACCGGACTGGGACCGGCAACAGGATCGCAACCCTCGGTGTTGCTCCCACAACTCGCTCAGCCAGTGAGCAGGAACCGGTCCGTATGTGGGATCTGAACCCTCGGCGGTAGCGCCACCGCGCTCCCAAGCGGCGCACTGTAGCAGTGCGCCTCTGGGCTGGCCCAGGGGGATGTTAATTTTCATCACCTGGTCTGCCAGGTATCTCCACTGTGAAGTTACAACTTTTTCCCTTTGTAATTTCCCTTTGTAACCCTAAATGTGTCGTCAGGATGTGCCTGAGACTATGTAAATATCCTGTTCCTGCAAAACTAGTTTCTGTGAAACTAATTGTTTCACCTACTAGTTTTAGCATCCATTGAGGTTCTTGCCAGAATCAGTTGTTGCTATAATGTTTGCTAAGTGGTCATTTTCTAACTCCTACATTTAGTTTGCTTTCTACTGTAAGAAAGAGCCTTTTCCTTTTCTTATTTTTATTTATTCAATTATTTATTTATATCAGTATGCATTCATGGATTCCTATTTTATTCAATGAATTATAATCTATCACTCATTGTTTATTTTGATGTTCAAATTGTCTGGAATTTTGTCCATGGGAACCCCTCAAACTGCTTCTGTATCTTTTTGATCTGTCTGAATCATTTGTTTTTTTAAAGCACTTTTGAACTTTTGGGCACAACAAGATTTTACACGGCTCCAATTTTGAGAAGAAAAACACT